ACACATGTGCTGAATAGATGGAGTGAAATAGGAAGAAACATTTTTAAGAGTACCATCTCCATAGGATGCTCCATCAAAAAATAAGCACAGCTGACATCCTGGAATTTCCCAGCACCCAGGGGTTCTGTTTGCCGACCTTCTGCAGTCTAAATCTGGACCTTTGCCTCCCCTATCCTGTAACTTCCTTTCTTGGTTTACTCCTTGTGGAATCCATTCTACAGTAGGTCCTTGAGAAAGCATGCATGGAAAGTAAAGGTTTTTGAGATTTTACATGTAAATTGTTTTCATTCTATCCTAATATTTACTAGATGGGTTGGCTAGGTATAGAATTTTAAGCTGAAAATAATATTCTCTTAGCATTTTGAAGATGTTGCTTCACTATCTTCTTGATTCTAGCGATGCTATTGAGAAGCCTGAAGCTGCATTCCTGGTCCTGTCCTTTGTATGTGACTGTGTTTTTTCCTTCTGAGGCTTGTAGAATCCTTTTTTTTTTGGTCCCCTGTGTTCTGGAATTTCACCATGATGGGCCTTTGTGTATGTTTCTATTAATCTGTTGATCTTCTTTCTTGATGAAACTTTTCCATCTGAAATTGTGTCCAGTTGAAATTCTGGGAAATTTTCTTGATTTAATCGATGATTATCTTTAATTGATTATCTTTGTTTTCTCTTTCTGGAGTTTCTATAAATCAGATATTGAAACTACATGACTTGTCCTCTAATTTTTCTCTTCTATTGTTCATCTTCATCCCTTTTGCTTTGCTTCCAGTGAATTTCCCTCTATTTTATCATTCTTCCTATTGAGTCCTTCATTTCTGCCATAATGTTTTTGATTTCCAAGAGTTCATTTTGATTCTTTGAATCTTTTCTTTAGGTGGCAACTTTTCCTTGTTTCATGGATGAAACATATCTTTTCCTTTGAAAATACTGATGATAATTTTTAAAATTTCTTTTTTGATGTCTTTTCCCTGCATGGTCTGTTTTTCCTTCAAGTTACTGTATTTTTTTTCCTTTTTTCCTGCTGGTTTTGGTCCTTTGGTTCACATGAGCAGTCTTGTTTAGCCTTTGGCATTAGTTGTTTGTGATTAAAAGTACAGTATGAAAAACTGTTTGGAAGCTCTGAGTTTGGGATGGAGCCCTGTGTGTCTAAGCCAAGGTTTCCCCAAAAGCAGAGTCCAAGACTTACACAGAGTTAGCTCATTTGAGGAGCGATCCAAAGAAACAGGGATGAGGGATAGAGGGAGGGAAAGGAGAGAAAGCCAATGTGAGTGTCAGACATTTCTCCCAGCAGCCATTGTTTCAGTGTCTGGTGCGCCATTCCATGGGATATGCTGAGTCTTATGTAATGTGTTTCAGAACTGTCCACTGGGGGGATGAAAAACAGAAGCATTTATCCTCAAAGATGGCCCCACAGACATTATCTTCTCTGAATTTCTGGCTTGCACACATGCCCACATGGGTATCAAAGAAGCTTTGGAACAGAAAACAAGATTCAGGGCTAAGGTGAAACTTTACTTGCTGTATTAGTTAGGGTTCTCCAGAAAAACAGAATGGGTAAGAGATACAGATATAGGTAAAGATATAGCTATAAGGAATTGGCCCATGTGGTTATACTGAGAAGTCTCATTATCTGCTTTCTGCAAACTGGAGACGCAGGAGAGCCAGTGCTGTGGTGCCGTAGATTCCTCCAGAAAAGTCTTCTGATCTTACGCCTAGAAGGTCGAGATCACATTGTCAGCTTCTGAGAGCCAAATGGGGTCAGCGGGTTGGGGTCCCTGCATTCGCTGTGCATCTGGGCCCCGGATCCATCCACTTCCAGTGTGGTACCGATGTGCTCAGTGTACCTGGAATCCCCCAGACCAGAGGTTCTCCCTGTAGGATAAATCTTCGACCTTCTGCTGGAGTTGGGGATGGAATGTGGGGTAACTTCTTCTCAGATTGCTTTCACTCAGGGCTCCTTTTTTAGCCTTCTCCTCTCCTCCACCTCAGTCCCAAAGGCACTTGGTTCTGGTAGTTTCTGAGTCTTTTGAGCTATTTCCAGTATAAGTTGGGTTGGATCTCAGCTTTCTCAAATCTGCTAAATCAGCTACCACACATCCATGTATTTTCCAGCTTTTGAAATCGTGTTGCTCTTTTCTTCTGTTCTCCTTCAAGTTTAGGATTAAAAAGAGAAAGAAGGAAAGGGAGGGAGGGGAGGGGAGGAGGGAAGGAAGGAAGGAAGGAAGGAAGGTAGGAAGGAAGGAAGAAAAAAGAAAATCTGTTTAGTACAGTTTTAGGATGGAGCAAAATTAGTTGCATGCATACCATCTGCCATCTTAGCCTGGAACTTGACTGCAGATGTACCTATAGCTCCTCCTCAGTGTCCTTCCTGCTTCAACTTACATGTCAGTTCCTCAGAGAGGCCCTTCCTGACCACTCAACTGAAATCAGGCCCCCATTATCATAGTACTTACCACTACCTAGATTTTTTTTGTTTATGGACTTGCGCTCTATTGGAATGTAAGCTCCATGAGAACAGATACTCCAGTCCATGCAGCATCCCCAGCTTCTAAAACTACCTGGTATATGGAAGAAACTCCGTAACTGTGTTTGGAAATAATATTTTGAGTCAAATGAGCTTCAATCCTGTGTGTGATGTACCCTAGGGAAAAAGGACTGCCTTGTATGAAGAAGGAACAGGGTGTATATAGAAGTAAGACAGAGTCTGTGTGTAAATCATGCAGAGCAGCAAGAGAAACTGCAAAGAGCAGGAGCAGAGCTGCAGGAATCTGGAAAGGCGTGTATTTGAAAACTGTCTCTGACTTGAGTCAAGGCCATTCTAGGTTTCCACCGAGCCTCCATGATGAGCTGGGCTGACCATCTCAGGGGAACAGCGCAGCAAAAGGTGGTCCTGGAGGTCAGGAAACAAGGAGAAAAGCAGCCCCCGCAGCCATCTCTGCCTCTTCTTTAATTGCTGCAGGAAAGGAGGGCAGAGATGGGAAAAGATCTGGGAAGCTCCAGGGAAGCTGGGACACAGCAGGGAAGCACTGTTTTGCAGGTTGTGAGGCTATATTATGCTGGAAATGCAAGCTGCTGCCCCCATTTCATGTACCAGGAATCCTTATCTTCAAGCAGGAACATTTTGGGTGTCATTCGCCCTCCTGGAGGAACTGAAGGTTGGGTGACCTTTATTTTGTTAATAAAGAAAAGTTACAGGTGCTTGTTGTAACAAATTAACATCTGTCACAGATGTCACAGGCAAAAAGTTTTTAAAAGAAATTTACCTTCCTTTCCAAGTATCAGCTTTTTAGCTCAGCAGAATATTGAGTTTAGTTTTTTTTTTCTTCCATGAAAAAGGTCATACATTCACATGGTTTAAAATCCAAAAGTCACAACGGGGTGTAGAGTGAAGGGTCCTTCCCATCCTGTTCTCCACCTCCTGGAGGCAACCAGTGTAAACAGACCCCTGTATCCTTCCAGAAATATTCTCTGCCCATCCAGGTTTTCTTTTGGACACAATTAAATTGGAACAGAGGTAGTTAGAGCCACATGCTGAGGACTTTCCCTTAAATGAGTCAAGGCTAAGGCTCTCCCTGAAAGAGACAGCAGGAATAGGGACCAGCATGACTAGAGGAGGGAGGGTAGAGGGAATAAGATGTGGTCTGCTAGGTGTCAGGTGCTTTTAATTTAGGACAGAGCTAGTCTAAGTCTAAGGATGGATGGCTACAGACATGTTACAGAAGAAATCATGGGTGTTGCATGTGATAGGGACTAAAGTTTCAATGTAGGAGATAAAGGCCCTCATTGAAGAGGACATTGGGTATGATGTAAGCTTAGAAGAAAGCGGTTTTCTGTAAGCCACACAATGTGTATCTTCATATAAAGGAGACATTCCACAGTTGAGCTGTGGGGATCCATAATCAAGGAAGAAACAAACCAGAGGGCTATGTAGATCCCATGTAGCATGCTGGGAGATTGAGGGCAATAGGGTGGGGCCCACGTCTGGGAATTAGGTTAGAAGGGATCTGATATTTTCCAATTGGAAGAAAGCCCGATTCTGAAGGTGGAACACTTCAACGACGTCAGGGAGGCAGCAGGTGGCACGTCAGACGGCTCCACAAAACAGAAGATCCAAGTGAACCTATTGGCAAGGGGGCAGTCTTCAAAAAGAAACCGGAAGAGGCAGAAGGGAATGGGGTCTGGAGCCCTACCCAGGCTCAGTCCTGGTGCCAGAGTGAACCTGAGCAAGTTAAAGTCCTGTGCCTGTTTTCTGATAGAGGCGATACACAGGGCTAATAACAGTCTCTTATTGGGGTGTTGTGTGTGATCAACTGACAATCCATAATGAGGGCTTAGAACAATGCCCCGCACAAAGCTAAGTCCATGCCTTTCAGAAGACATTTTAAAAAAGGCCTGCTCAGGCCTGTTGTGCTGGCACAGTACTTGGTGATAAATCTAGAAAAGCAGAATCAAAGATGGATTTCAGATAGTGGTAGGAGGTGGAAAAGGGAGGGAACAATAATAGCACAGCCAAATACACCAGGGAGAGTGAGGAAAAAGGGCTCAGGGTGAGTATTTTTCAGGGAAAACTGTCTTGTTGCAGGTCTACAATGTTCAAAGCTACACTGTGTGTGGGAATGTCTCTTGGAAATTAAAATTTAATTTCAGTTAAAGAAGCATTCTTTCTGTATGCCCACTTGAAGCTCAAATTATATTGCTTAGAAGGGTAGCCAAGTTGCATAGAAGGGACATTAAGATCTGTAAGTCAGGAGACTTGGGTTCCAGCCCTAGTTCTGCCCAAGTGGCTGATGCAATATTGAGTCAACTTAATTAACTGTGTCATTTTCAGAAGAAAGGGCCAGAGTCGTTTCCTAGGCCCCCCTGAGTATTGAACATTCTCTGATCCTAACCTTGGGGCAGGGTCTCAAGAGAATTTAAGAGTTGTCCACCTTGGCCCAAGAGCCCTCTCCTCAAATAAATACGTTAAAACTAAGAGCATCTGGTGTTCCTTTCCTTTTCTCCAGGTCCCTTGACAAAAGGAGCGAGATTTCAAATATGCTGCCAGGGGGAGAGAGCCACCTTTTTCTTTTCCCATCCACTTCAGGAAAATTTAGGTTTAAGTTATTCCTGTGGTCGGCCTAGAGTTGCTTGCTACCAGATTGAAATAGGAAGACATCATGGAAAAAAAAGAGATTTTCTTAAAAGGAACTGAAGCTTGTTTGGCCTGATCCTCTGGGAAGTTGGACAGGTAGAATGTGACAGTTTAGTTTCATACTACCCCTTTAAAAATACTGCCCTAGAGGGGAGATACTGATTCGTCAAGGCCTCAAGGCACTGGACATAACCACGAGGCGGTCTGGCGTAAATGGCAACAAGCAGCTTACAAACCCTCAAATAAATGGCATCTCAATTTGAATATTGGGTGATGGGGATGCCTTGGTTGTAAAACCACTGGTCNGGGGAACAAAGCTGGCCTCATTCTGGAGGCGGTTGTCTCTGTTTTGAAGGTGAACATGAAATGGGGAACCGAAACAGTTACTTTAGGCCATAATTACAAAGCAGTTTTCCTTCATTGATCCTTTCATTTCCCGATGTATAACACATTTGCTTAAAAAGGCAGCAGTAACGAAAAACAACATTCTGGTGAAAAATTATCAACATGAGAGAGTTGCAAAGAATTACACTCAGTTATTTAGATGTATACAGTTTGACTACTTTCTCCAAATATTAGGGGGTGTTCTGGAACCCTGGTACATAAACTTTGAAAGACCCTTTGTCATTTTAAGCAAGGCACACAAGATAAAACCAGACTGCCTCCAAAAGTGGGCTCTTTACCATGAGAGATCTTGATTGCTTCTGTGAAAGAAAGTATCTAAAATAAGCAGTAAGAAGAATGATCTTTAAAATATGAGAAGCTGGGGGCTAACAGGAACCTCAAAGGTTACCAAACTCATCCATTCAGCACATAGGTGTAAAATTTTTATAATTAAGGACTACTGTCCTTTCTCCACTTGACTCAGTGGTCAGTGAAAGAGCAAGATTCTTAGATGACTAAGTAACTAGACAGGTCAGGGGAAGACCTCATCCATAATCGTCAATGTTCTTCTGCTAGTTTAAACAACTTCTAATGTCCCTTCCTATATAATATATGGAAAATTTACATAATTTCTCAGTAAAAGAAGCCATGTTTTCCTTAAGTGGGAAAAGAGTCTACTAAAAAGAAGAACAAAATAAGATGGAATTCCCCTAGATTTAAAAGCTTACATAAAATCTACAGATATTGTATGATACCACATATATATTACCTAAAACAGGCAAATTCATAGAGACAAAACATAGGATAGTAGTTATCCTGGGCTGGGGGAGAGAAGAATGGGGAATAATCATTTAATGGGTACAGAGTATCAGTTTCAGAAAAAGAAAAAGTTCTGGAGATGGATGGTGATAATTGTCACACAACATTGTGAATGTGCTTAATGCCACTGAATTTTATACTTAACAATGGTACAATTATGTTACATACATTTCATCGCACACAAAGAAAGTTTTTTAAACAGTAGCAAGAATAATACTTTTTAATGTCACAAATAAGTTACCTAATTGCAAAGGCATGAAATTAATATTACTAGAGAACTTTAGGGTGACCAAACTACTTACTATTGAACAATCCAGACGTTAAGAACTTAATACAGATAGTAAGTAAAATTATTACACCAAAAATAATGACATTGTAAAAAAACCAATGGAGAAGGTGTTAGCCCATTCAAAGTTATGGTTATTTCCTCTGCACAAGCCTACTGGAATCAGTTAGATCAGGCCTAAACTAGATCAACTGAGTTACCTAGTCATAAATGCTTTGTAAAGGATATGGATTGAGAATGGGAATTACATTGTATTTTTGGGTCCTAGAGAGGTGGGAGCGATGCTCAGGGTCACTCTGCTAGCACAGACCTGCTCCAAGACCAGTACCTAGATGGTGGATCGGTCTGGGTATGTGTTGGCTGCCATGGGGTTTCTGAAGGTCATTACCTGACCCAAAGCTCACAGACCAAGCTGGGTTTGCTAATCTCTTGTGTTTGCTAATCTCTGCTCAAAGAGCAAGCCTGAAGATAAGCCATTGCTAATTATTATCCCTTCCTTTTTGTGCACCTAGTACAATGTTTAAAAAGTGTGCTTTTCCGACATTATTCCATCTGACCATCATAATTAACTGCCCTGCAAAGAAAATGAGGCAGATATAGTCATCTATATTTTATGACTAGGGAGTTGTGAGGGTGAAGCCCAGGAAGCCCAAGTCTTGAAGCTTGTACACGGCAGAGTTGAAATCAGAATGAGAAGAGCCTTTTGGTTACTAGAGTCCCTTTTCTGAAATTCTACAATTCCAGCAGGGCTGGGATTAGGTTGAGGCAAATGAGGCCCTCACCTTGGGCACAAAATTTAAGAGGCACCAAATCAAGACAAATAATATTTTAACATAATATTTTAAAAAGTTAAAATAAATGTTAAAATATCCCTGATGGACAAAATACCAAAATTCTAAACAATGACCAGCTGTTTGCTTTTATCACAGCCTTATGTTATTGTGCAATGGGAAGTCAGTTTGCATGATCCCAAGGTTGCCAGGCCCAATAGGCCATCTTGTCCTTTCCCAGGTGGGTTTATGAGGGCTGAGGGTTGCCAGGGGTGTGCAAGTGGATTGGGCAATGCAGGGGTTTCTACAGACTTATGATTTTTGACTGTAGAGGAGGTTCCAAACCTGGCTGGGGTCAGATAATCAGGGAATGGCCCAGTCTAGGTAGGACCCTAAAGCTGATGGTGCCAAGGCCTCTGTGCTTTGCATGTTCTTGTATTGTCTGTCTGCTTACACCTAATGAGAAGCAAACACACAAAGAGGAACCACTCCACTGAAAACTGAAAATGAGACGAGCCTCAGTAAAGTCCCAAGGAGTTCTCAGGACAGAGCTACTTCTGGCTGGCTGGTTAGGGGCTATTGCATAACATGCCAGCATTCCAGAGATTCCACCAGAGTGCCAGGGGCAAGATCTATTTTTCAACCACCCACACTCAGGGTGTGTCCTACTTTTAAGGAGTTATGATAAGTGGAAACCTATACTTACATTAAAAGTACTTTAAGTAAATTGTGATGACTTATTTTGGCTAAATCAAGTTGAAGCCCACTCAACATCCAGTTCTTCTCATCTATTTAATTGAATTTGACTTACGTTGGTGGGTGTTTTGATGACCTGTTGGATAATTTTAATATAGCAAATCTTTAATCAGGTGCTATTTTCAACTGCCCAGTGGTAAATAACAGAGTCTAAGTCCAGGTCTCTTTCTCCAGTAAAGCCATGTGGTATCTACTGAGGGAGATATGATCCATATACCCAAATAGACAAATATTAACATATGATAAGAGCCAACTGAATCCTGAATAGCGTAGCTGTGAACTCATAGAAATTCCAAGGAGAGAAAGCAATTGCTTTGGAAGAGAGAAAACTGAACAGCTTGCATGAGCTGGTTCTGTAGGATGGGCACCTCGCAGAGCGCACTGGAGGGCTGTGGGGAGGGCAGTGGAAAGGTGGGGGGCAGTCAGATGGCAGACAGAATCATAGGAGAGTAACACCATCAGTTTGGCTGAATAGCAGCTATAAGAAGCTGGCAAAGCACCAATCTGAGACCCGAAATTGGCCTTAGTGTGGACAATTGTAAACAGAGCTCACCAAGACGAGCGCCTGGGGGTTGGCTTCACTTAGAGAGCTGGAGGAGACTAGGAAGGCAACCGTGGAGACGACTGAGAAGGAAATGGTTGAAGCCAGTCAGAAGAAAGGGCTGTGCAGTGTGAGGGAGGACTGGGTACTAGAGCTGCCCGAGGTGAGTGGCCAGTGTGAAGTGCAGTAGACAGACACTATAGGCAGACGGCCATGTTTTTAGGTCACTGATGGTGGGCGGGGCTTCACAAGGACCTTACCAGTCTGTCTGATGCTAAACATGCCCTTGATCTTGCAATCTTTGAGCCCACAGATAAAATACAACATACTCAAATTCATCTTAGTAGTGTGTTCCTTATAATAAAATCAGGAATATCTTTGGAAGGACCCTTAGGAAATGAGTTACATTAACTGCATTCAGAGAGGGGTCTGCGTAGAAGGCACAGAGGTGGAACACTTTGCACTGTGTACCCTTGTGCATCCTTTGGATTTCATTTGGGTGCTATTTTTAAACAACTAAAAAATGAAAGAAATCTAAGGAGAAAACACATGTGCTGAATAGATGGAGTGAAATAGGAAGAAACATTTTTAAGAGTACCATCTCCATAGGATGCTCCATCAAAAAATAAGCACAGCTGACATCCTGGAATTTCCCAGCACCCAGGGGTTCTGTTTGCCGACCTTCTGCAGTCTAAATCTGGACCTTTGCCTCCCCTATCCTGTAACTTCCTTTCTTGGTTTACTCCTTGTGGAATCCATTCTACAGTAGGTCCTTGAGAAAGCATGCATGGAAAGTAAAGGTTTTTGAGATTTTACATGTAAATTGTTTTCATTCTATCCTAATATTTACTAGATGGGTTGGCTAGGTATAGAATTTTAAGCTGAAAATAATATTCTCTTAGCATTTTGAAGATGTTGCTTCACTATCTTCTTGATTCTAGCGATGCTATTGAGAAGCCTGAAGCTGCATTCCTGGTCCTGTCCTTTGTATGTGACTGTGTTTTTTCCTTCTGAGGCTTGTAGAATCCTTTTTTTTTTGGTCCCCTGTGTTCTGGAATTTCACCATGATGGGCCTTTGTGTATGTTTCTATTAATCTGTTGATCTTCTTTCTTGATGAAACTTTTCCATCTGAAATTGTGTCCAGTTGAAATTCTGGGAAATTTTCTTGATTTAATCGATGATTATCTTTAATTGATTATCTTTGTTTTCTCTTTCTGGAGTTTCTATAAATCAGATATTGAAACTACATGACTTGTCCTCTAATTTTTCTCTTCTATTGTTCATCTTCATCCCTTTTGCTTTGCTTCCAGTGAATTTCCCTCTATTTTATCATTCTTCCTATTGAGTCCTTCATTTCTGCCATAATGTTTTTGATTTCCAAGAGTTCATTTTGATTCTTTGAATCTTTTCTTTAGGTGGCAACTTTTCCTTGTTTCATGGATGAAACATATCTTTTCCTTTGAAAATACTGATGA